TATGCTTCGAAATGCAATACTTGTGCATGCGCACTTCTCAGATCTTAGTCTTAATCCTAGAAAAATTAAAAGATGCGAACTTTCAAGGTCATGTCTTAAGACCTCCTTACGACTAGGGATTTTTATAAACCGATACATTACATTCTGTACATTTAACTTATTAGGACTAAGATTAAGGTTAATACTAAGACTAAGTTAGGCCTAATACTTTTTTATAAACCAACCATAAGTGGTTACGTAAACTCACAGAATATGAGAATGTGGTCTTCTGAAAAACTAGATAACTTTTTTGTCGAGGGCCCTCTACACGCTCAAAAAGTTGGAGTTTGGAAGGAGGATTTATGGACCTATTTTTTTTAATGGTACTCTTACTGCGCAAAGGTATAGAGAAGAAATTATCGCTTCGTTTGTTAACCAGCTGGAAGAAAACGAAATTACAAACTTTTACTTTCAACAAGATGGCGCAAGGGCACATACGGCAGGCGAGACGATGAATATGTTAAGGGAAGTTTTCCAAAATCGACTAATAAGTCTCAATGCTGAACATGAATTTCCACCGAGGTCATGTGATATTACGCCGTGTGATTTCTTTTTGTGGCCTTACCTTAAAAACACTATTTTTGAACTGCCTATTCCTGATTTAAACCATCTGCAGGCTCGATTTATAGACAAGATTCGTGAAATTAACAATACCCCGAGCATCTTAGAAAATGTCTTTAATTCTTTGAGGAACAGGTGTGAAAAGTGCTTGGAACAAGGAGGGGGACACTTTCCGCAGCTCCTCTAATTGTTTGTTATTGTTATCACGATTATTCTTTAAAATAAAGTTATATAGTCATTAACGTTATTGAAACTGACAGCTGCTATACATCTCGTTAAGACATGAGGTTAAGTTGGTCGCTATAAGCTACTCCCTACGTCCAATGTGTCAGAGCCAACTTCGACCACGTTTTTATTTGAACGCTCGTAAGACACCCCTTTCGTTGGAAAGAGACAGCACACTGCAAACCGAATTTACATTCTTTGTTTCTCATTTTTATACATTTGACTATTTTTACCTCAGAGTAATAAGTAAAGGGGAGGCCGCATTCCCTATTTCAGTACACAATGTAAACATGTAACCTCAACCTATTGTATGTTGATAAACAAATGATACAAAAGTAAACACAATGGTCCCTGGTACAGTGGCGTCCGAGTTTAGGTTTAAAATCTATCATAATATAAGGAAACCATAAAAATTACACTTTTTAATTGAATAAAATCAGAAGTGCTCGATTATTTAAGCTTTCATGTGTAATAAATAGACAATAAATAGGAAAAAGTTAATGGTTTCTTCAAAATCTATAATTAATATTTTAAAAACATTTCCAGAACAAAAGAGTGACTAAAGAAAACTCCTCGATTGAAACTATCATTATACTATAGCTATAGCAATGTCATTGCCTACTATTAATTCTATTATTTCATAGTAGTTCTCGATTACTGGAAGAATATTTATTAAAATAAATAATTTAAATAAAACTACAGGGAAAGGAGCAAAAATATATTTAATTAAAATCTGCTGGAATATAAACAATGCAAAGAAAACAAAACATATTTGTACTAAAAGTAACGGAAAAATGAATTTACATTGAACAACATTTAATCGTATGGGAAAATAAGCATATTTTAAATGTACGCAACAAAAATAAGCTGAATTTTGAGGTCATAATATTGACAGCTCGTCTCTTATGGAACAGGGACAACATGTGATTGAAGATGTTTTATAGCAACATCTATAAAATTTCCTTCACTGGCAATTTCTCGAAGAGGGAACCTTTGAGACAGCACAACCATTTCATCAACACTGTGCTAAAACGTATTACCTTCCAAATGTTGTATTAATAGGCACAGTTCCATGTGTGAGACATCGTTTTCCAGTTACTGTTACCTTAATATCTGTGGCACGGAAATGCTTCGACAGACATAATTATCCTTTGAAAAATCATATTCAGATATGGCGAAATTTTCTAGCCACACTGCTCGTATCGCAGGATCTTATGGTATTCTACAAATAAACACAGAGCTAGTGTCAGTATCAAAATACAAACATAATAAATTAACAAATAAAATACTTAGGACACCTTACACCCTTGTAAGAACGCCCATGGAAACAATGTCAAACTTACTTGTGAAAAGAAGTAGCACATATTTGGCTCTTTTCCTGTAATTGTCGGCATATTATACGCCGCTTTGGCATTTTTATTGAAATTAGATAAAAAAACAGTTTAAAAAGACACAAAACACTGAACTCGGCTAATATCTATTCCACAACAATAGACTGTAATAATGGCGTCCCCTTTAGAACCGTTTACTACCAGGCAATGATGCCACTTACGACGTTTGTATTGCTAGGAATTTCAATAATGTATTTTTTTTTCAGATATTCAAAATCTCTAGTTATAAAACAAGTTGCAAGAAAATAGTGTCGTAGTCTTATGCATATTACAATGTAACTAATTTGTAAGTCGAGGTCAAGAATGAGGTAGATCCTTGTACGATAATCAATTAAAATGACCGCTGTACCTAGCTATAAAGATAAAAATGTAACATTGGCATCAATGTCAAGGACATCACAAAGTACCAATGTTTGTAAATACACATATGTCAACACTTCACTATCGAATGTAAATAAAGGCGTCCCCTTTATTTATTAGTCTGAGATTTTTACTCAAATTATTCAATTTTTTAAACATTCATGACACATTTCTTTGGGTGTGGTAAATAATAATTTCTATGGTATTTTGCAATCCGCCATTTCGGATTTAAGAATTTTCGAATTAAAACCTTATCTTCGTGATTGCAACTTTGAAAACCACAATACGTTTCAGCCATAAACTTCAAGTTTTGAATGCTTTTCCGATTTTTACATCCGATATTTTTTATTTAGGAATTCAGACTTCAGATTCGTAATCAGCGACCCTTAAAACCCGCGGTAACAAAATTCAGGCAAAAATATTGAGTATATAAATTTGTGACTTAAAGGGGTAAGTGGCACCCTGGTCTGTACTAGTTTCCAACCTTTTGAAGGATAAGTTATATTATATTTTGTTCATTTATATATTTACTAATATAAAATACAAGGCTATGGTTTTTGTCATTGTTTTGCACTAACATTTGCTACTTTTGATCTTAGATGTGGAATTAACCTCCTCGAAGGGGAGGGTGTTGATTTAATTTTTATATATTTCTTTCCAATGCTCAAAATATTATTTTAAAATGTTTTTTAAAAGTATTTGCAAATTGTTGCTTTTCATTACAAAGCTTTACCTTATCCTCACTCTTTCACTATACTTTTGGGGATATTTTAGCGTTTTACTAAAAAATTTCCTGGTAGAGCAGTTTTTGGGCTGCGGATACGGATTCAACATTTATACAGACTGTTACAAATTAACTTCTCACTACAGGGATCTCGGAAACGGTAAGAGGTACAAAGTAGCTTAAATGGGGGCAAAGTTGCGTAATCAGGGGCCCAACATTATGCCTCTAAAAAATCAAGGCTAACATGATTAGTTTTTGAAATATTTGAAAAAAAAACAAAATTTTGGAAATTTGTTTCTGTTTCATTTCAGCTTTGTTTGAGGTAATATTGAAAAAGAAGAACACTTTCTCATGGCCACTTTCGAATGGCACAATCAATTTTTGTATGTAACGTTTTGTTTCTTCAGGACCATCATCAACTTAATTTTTTTAAATACGACCATAGAAATTTTATTATATTTTTTGCTAGCCTTCATGATCCCCAATCTGCTGCAACCTGAACCAGATTCAGGCGATTTGTCTCAAAAAATTCATCTTCAGTGTATTTGTTTCAAATTTATCTAAATTTTTTATTTAGATTTCTTTGTTTATTGAATTATCGTACACTGTAAGTGTGAAATCCATATAGTTATTTAAACTATTACCACCACATGTTACAATAAAACATTTATTATTATTAACTACATATTACCATCACTTGGTAAATACATAACTCAATAAGTTGTTGCGTCAAAATTACAACATTATTACAATTTTAATTTTATTATGACAAATTAATTCTTAAAATTGCATATGAACAACCAAAACACCAACTGAATATTATTCTTTAAAAAATTTCAGTAAATGTTCAAACATTTTCGTTTTGGCAAAGGTTGAAAATGAAGATCAGCATAATATTATCGAAATTTATTATATCTGTAACTGCAACTGTAAAAGAGCATGACAGATGTATTTGTATGAATATCCTGAAAAAAAATAGATTGGAATTTGTTTAAATTTTGAGCACTCGAGAAGCCTAGAAATAACTATGGACACGGGAATAAATCTTTAATAATGTTTTATATTAATACGTGGTGGTAATAGTTTAAATAACTAGATGGATTTCACAGGGTCTAACGACACTTACAGTGTATGATATTTCAATAAACAATGAAATCTAAATAAAAAATTTAGATAAATTTGGAACGAATACACTGAAGATGAATTTTTTGAGACAAAACGTCTGAATCAGGTTCGGGCTGAGGCAGTATAGTATTGGGGGTCATAAAGGCTTGCAAAAAATGTAATAAAATTTCCAGGGTCATATTTAAAAAAATAAAGTTGATGATGGTCCTGGAGAAAGTGTTCTTCTTTTTTCAATATCACCTCAAACAAGGCTGAAATGAAACAAAAATGAATTTCCAAAATTCGTTTTTTTTCAAATATTTCGAAAACTAGTAATGTTAGTCCCCTGATTACGCAACTTTGCCCCCATTTAAGCTACTTCTTATCGTCTCTGTAGTGAGAAGCAAATTTGTAACAGCCTGTATACACAGGATCTCATATCTGGTACAGAACTTTTTTTCATTTATGGGGCTGTTATTGTTAAATTACAGATATAATACTTACCTTCATTTTATAATGAAGATAAATGATGCTTTTAATAGGGATTTATCATTCAGTCGGGATAAATAAAGTGAATACAACCATAACTAGCTTGCTTTACTTTTTATTTAGAATAAAATTTTTTCGAATATCGAACATATTAATGTTTTAAAAGGGCAAATATTTTACACTTTTAAATAACGATAGAAGACACCCATACCTATATTTTTATTATAACCACAATCTTAAAAATACTGAAAGAAATGTACGTAAATGAATACTACTTGTAAGAAATTAATACAACTTTCAATACAGTACCATATGATAATGTTAAAAATAATATTAAAAAGAACATAATCAATGATCAACAGAAATACATACAGATGCGACAATATATTGGGTAAATTTTTTCAGACTAAAAATCATAACCGAATCTTTTGTTTTTGAAAGTTTTAGGCAATGGTGTTTTAAAAAGTGAGTCCAGCTTCTGAATATGTGTTGAATATCTTCTCAACAGAATTGATGTATGCAGCGGATCGCAAATCAATTCCCAAGTTATATTTCTCTGCTGTTTTCATGATAGCCTGCAAAATATAATCAGTAAACTCGATTAGTATGTTGCAATTTAGTTCTTCACTCAACTAACTTTTTTGAAAATAGTGAGTTACTTGTGGAAAAATTAATTAAAACAACAAACTGAAACACTATTATACTTGAAATCTATCAAACAACACAATATTTTATAAAGCATTGCCATTATGTAGGGTAACTGGAAGATAGTTTGTATGAACATGATTCCAATTAAAGTCCCTAGACTGATCAAGTATCAGAATCACTTTACAATTTGCGGCAAAATCTCTAGCCAACCTCAAAATATGATATTGAGACTAAATATATTTCTGTAGGATGTAAAAAATATAATTTTAATATCAGTGACAGCTCTTGACTTCCATACCAGGAATAATTTAGGTACAAAGTATTGACAAAAAAAATATATATATATATATAATTAGGCAGTTTTATTTTAAGTACTATTGAAATATAGGGAAAATGATTTAAATTACTTTTCCATTAAAGTTTGGTATTCCTCGCACTATTGATTTTTCAATAGATAGCATTACTGTTAGTTTATCTTTACAATCTTTTAAAAAAACACAAGAAGTAATACGTAAGTAACAAAATTTTACAACCACACTTCAACAAATTACGTTTAATATTAATTGGTTATGGTCGGACTAAACATAGCCCAGTGTATGGTAAATATGTGCTACTCCCACTCCGTCTTTCACTGATGCAAGTCGGTAACCATGACCACCGCTGTAAACACTTTACAGATGTAGGAACGAATTATGCGAAGCCCACGTATTCAGAATTTTTTAAACGAATTTTTCAAGTCGAGTTAATTGACTGCACATTATAAATTTAACATTTCCTTTTTATTGTGACTCATCGGGCTAATCTATTTAATTAGCCAGATAACATTGTAAGCTAAGTTTTAAATTAAATTTTTATATTATGAAAATTCCAAGGAGAGGTGCAGACCCAGAGCCCCGCACCAGCCGCGACTTCTTAATATGTTTCTTCAATATTTTGAGGCTTTTAACAATTTACTGAAGAACATGTGGTTTAATTTATTTATTACAAAATAATCTAAAATTTGAATCTAAAATAGTACATACAAACATCTAAATTTTGACAGTTACAGATACGTTAAACACTTTGACAAACTGCCATTTTGGGGCAAAATGAGAGCAGCCAGTTGAGGTACTTGGTCAACCTAAGGACTTTAGTTTCAATAATGGTTAGGTTTAGAGATTGCCTAAAAATAAGGTTTTTACTTTAATATTTCTTTAAAAAAATTTAAAAAAAACATCTCTTCTCTACCTAGTTTAAATTGCTGCTGATTTATTATGTCGGTAATGTATAATATAAATTATCAATAATTTTTCAATGTACCTTTTTACTAGATTTTATACAGATATTCCAGAAATAAATGCAGGTGACTTTTACTCATAAAAATAATAATACAACTCCCTAAGTCGCTTTTTTGAAAATTCAAATAACTAATGGAGTTATATAGGGTGTGAATGATATAGTCTGCTAAACTTCAATGGTAGATTCTACATACAAATTAATAAAAAAAGTTCTTATACAGGCTGTCTCCTAAAAAACGCCTCAAACCATAACTCCGTTATGATTTTAAAACACAAAAAATTAAATGAAATTGCTCTGAATACTCTATAGAGGGAGCCTCTTTTTGAAAAGTGATAGTCAACTTTTTTTTTCAAATGGCAATATAGTTCTTTTGTTTATTATTGTGCAGATTTATTTCCTGATGTATATGAACTTGACCTTTGTAACGCATTTATTACAGAAAAGACGATACCGCATTCGGCGCCCGGTCACTAATTAATGACAAATGTATTTTTTGACTAATCATCTGTGCTATGAAAAACAACAAATAATACAGTAAAGCAAATAAAACTCAAAAGAGAATTTTGTAGTTAACAGAAAAGAAACAATACAATGAATATCAATTAAAAGCCAAACAATTTAATTAAATACATTAACTATTATCCAAAGTTCAACAGGAAATAACATTAATTAAACACAAAACTAAAGAAACAAATTGTAGCCGTTGTTCTCTATGGTTTTTTGAGGAATGTATGGCTTGAATTTGTGATTTTTTAATACTGCATGTACTCTTTGATGCTCTAATATTATTAGAAATTTCCCAAATGGAAGTTCTTGGGTTTTCTTCAACGTTAAGAAAAACATAGAACTCGATGTTTTCATTAAATTGACATTCTTCTCGCTTTGGTTTTAAAAGCACCATAGTTTCTCAAATTTTCTTCAAGTCTTACAAATCTACGCGGTTTTGGAACTTCTCTGTGAGGAAATAGTTCTCTGTAAAGGCAAACTTCCGCACCACGATTTTATTATACCAAAAGTATATCTGAATCATGTCCGTCAATTGATTACTACTCAATATTTTCATGCTTTTCGCTTTTCAAAAAAAAAATAATAATAATACGCTCCAATAGGCTCACTCTATAGTGTATTTATAGCCATTTCACATAATTTTTTGTTTTTTAAAATTAAATTATAAATGACGGGAGTTATGGCTTGTGGCATTTTTTAAGAGACAGCCTGTATGTATGAGGAAATGCTGCAATTTCGAGACACAAGGTGTTGAAATTTAAAATAATTTATATTACATTTATTTAAATATTTTTTTATGAAACTTGAGCTAATAATTACAACTATTCCTGGGCAAACATTTGCTTAATTGATATATAAATCTAAGGTGCTAATAAACAAAGTTATTAAGAACTTTAAACTTTTGATATGCCACTGAATGTTTTGAAAATTAGAGTACAATTAGAGTTTGTTGATATTTCCTATAAAAAAAGAACATTTTTGAATTATAATTTTTTTATTTTAAAATAAACCTCTATATAGTTAAATAAATGGAAAATAACTCCAAAACTGTTCGTCTAACAAAAAAAATTGTAAGATTTTTTAGGGTGTTACTACCCTTCAGAAAATAAAAAATTCTTGTATAAATTATTTTTTTGGCGTTTCATAAATACATAGTATAGTTGGAAATTGCATTTCCGACAAAAAATTCCTATATTTTCTTTGGGACGGGAATATTCTCCGAGAATTTTAAAAAATGGTTTATTTTTCAAATAAAAGCCCATTTGTCTTAGAAATGATGCACTTGTCAAATTTGCAAAATATTCAATGCCGCAACTGACTGACAGATTTATGTATTTCAGAAAATTTTTGCCCATCACTGTGGTGGCAGACATGCAACGTTACCATTGGATATGACCAATTCCAGAAGCCACTATGGAACGTTTCAGAGAACCACTATTGTCAGGGGAATGGTTTGATCTGTAGCAGACTTAGAACTAATAAGAAGAACTGAAATGGATATCAGGGCGGTCCTAGGGATTCTAATAAGGGATTCACCCCTACAGAGGCTAGTCCGAGAATAATAAGGACAGGTCAAAGAGCTTAGCTAAGGTTAAGAAAGTGCAATGTAAGTCTGTAAAGACGAGACAAGAAACAACCCAATCATGTCAAGCATCTTAAGAGATATTTATTAAATATACAGGGAGTAACCAAAGTATGTTAAAATATTTAAGTGGGGTATTCCTGAGTTAGGATAAAATTTTATTTTCTTAAATAACTTTTACAAAAGATAAATTTTTCACACAAAACCGGGGATTTTTTGAGGTGAGAAATCATAATTTGGTATTAATTTTTGTGCAGCACTTAGAGGGCGCTACGTGGTGCGGAGATATGGGCGGAGGCGATGAGTGTGGCCCCATATCGGAATGCCTTGAGGAGGGTACAGAGGAAAATGGCCCTACGAGTGCGTAGAGCTTACAGGACCGTATCGTATAAGGCGGCCGCGGTCGTGGCAGGATTGGTCCCTATAGATTGGATAGCAAGGGAAAGGAGAGAAGTATATACCACAAACAGAAACATGAAGGAGGTAAGGACGGAAATGGAGAACAAGTGGCAAAATGAGTGGAAAAACAGTCTAAAAGGAACTTGGACAAGAAGGCTTATACCGACGATAGTCGTGTGGAGAAAGAGAAAGCACGGCGACCTGAATTATTATTTGACCCAAGTACCGACTGGACATGGGATTTTTAGGAGGTATATGCATAAATTCGGCAAAAGCCCCGATGAACGATGTGTTAGTTGCGGAGAGGAGGATGATGTAGAACACACGATATTTGAGTGCCAGAGATGGGCGAGGGAGAAGACACAGCTGGAAATCGCTCTCGGAGTACAGATACACCCCGATAACATCATACAAGTTATGCTAAAATCCAAAGAAGAATGGAACTGTGTAGTAAGGTATGTCTGGAAAAATGAAGACTAAAGGAAAAGAGGAGAGACAATGACAATCGGATAGAGTATAAAGTCGTGACTAACTAGCTGTTATAGTTTTTATTATATCTCGTTCTAGTCAATTACTTTTTTAAATTATTATTTTTTTTCTGTTTTTATACGCACTCTGTTCTAGTCAACTGGTAATTTGTTTTAATCCTTATTTATACGCACCTTGTTCTAGTCAATTAATGATTTCTTCCACATATTTTATATTTATTATTTTATTTATTTATTTGTTTGTTCATTTCAGTATATACATATTTATTTGTTTAGTTTGTTGTTCCAAATTTAGTTTCTTTTTTTTTGTTCGAAATTTATTGATTGGATACAGTTTAGTAATAGTTACGGTAACGGTTAGTTCTTCAGTTTAGATGTTATGCCTAAACGGTTAGTTCCTAAATTGAAGAATTGAGGAGGGAGGAGGGATAAAAAAAAAGAGGGCGCTACATATGCTATCATTATTCACTTTAATTTGCCATTACTTTTTTGATAGAAGACCTCTGCGATTCCTACACCTTTATTAAGCATAAAAAAAGCACACTTCCTTAACAACGCCAGAAGCCACCGTTTTCGAGAAATTTACCGAGTCCCTTAGGCGTTAAATGAAGTTGTTGAGAATTTTATGTTCCTGGTATTTTCCAACGGGTACGGGATTCTTCGATGAGGAGGG